AACGACTAACCAGGAGTAATCCTTCCACTTTAATGCTGTACAATACATAATAGAGATTCATACCGTGCCACCATTACTCGCCCAAGGTCTGTCGAGTGCAGATGAAGCCTAAACCACACGACCCACCTCATTTTTATTCAGTCCACACGAGAGATACAAGTCTAATCTTGCCTCGTCATTTCTAGACACGACCAACCCAACCAAACCACACCGCCCCTCCCAAGAAATCCCGTCCATTTCTCTCTCCACTCCAAAGATTAAGTCAAACAGCGGACCAGACCAGATCACACCAAGTATTTAACTTGCTGGAAAAACTCTAAACTTACAGGGACATGTTGGTCGAAGGACGACAAAGTTAAATAAAGTCGACCGGACAAAGACGGGAAAGTGACTTACTCTCACTTTTTTCTTGGCGAAAAAACCGAAATGAAACTTCAAACCGAAGAACGTGACCAAAAACTGGGCGACCAGACTTTACTTCGTTTCCCTGTAGCACTAATATTTCCAGAAAACCCCAGGCTGCACGATTTCACTACTTATTCTATTCAATTTCTCTCATTTTCTCGCCGATTACACAATGTTAAATTCTCACTGGAAATTTTTATATAAGTATTTTTTCCCAAATTCATTCCCTCCTTAAAAAAAATATATTTACAAAATTTTACGCCTCCAAACCCACCCTCACACAGTTGACCCAGAAATGAAATAAAAATAAAATAAATTCTCCCCCATAAACTATGCAGTATTCTCCCAGATAAAAAAAGAAAAACTAAAATATTTCGTAATAAAAGCCAAGCCCATTGAATTGAATTGTGTGTCACGTTGACTTGTGAGTCCGTACTAAATTTTGCCCCTAAGCGGAGCAGCACACACCGAAACCGTGTCCCACACGAGGAGAGAGAAAGTTCATAACAATATCGTCGTCCCCGCTTTTTCGCCTTTTTTTTACTAGCGCACTGTTGAGTCGTTTAGCCGTATGTGAGAGCAGTTACGGGAGCAGGAGCGATGGACAGACTTGAATACATTTCCTGTAGAAAAGAACTTTCAGATTTTGAATACGAAAAATGGAGCCAACTTGGAATTTTTTTTGGTCCAAAGTTGCAAAATGAGAGGGCAATTTATTCAATTTATTGCGAGCACAATCGCTCCGCTTCTCTTGTAATACGTCTCCTAATGGGCGGAATATGGTGTAAACTTTCCCCTTTATGAATGACACTTTGTTAAAGGAGGCTGACACCGAGGTGGGTGGAGGAGTCTCCCTTGAGGGCTGTTTCATTACTTCGGTCGGGTGATATGATTGCCCTCAGATGCAAAATAGAAAGATTTCCTACTTTTTTCCGTCTCCCTTTGTACGGCCAAATTCAATCAGGTGATACGATATGTCGGCACGTATTTAATAATCAAATTGTCAAATTGAATAGAAAAAAGTAGGTGGAAAACCCGGGTAGGTAGAAAATTTGTCCGTATTTTTTTGCACACATACATTATTCGCAATTTCTTTCGCGTCTGTGTCATGAAAGGTTGCCGGCATAATACAAATACGTACGTCATGCATCATCATCACATCACTATTTTGGTCCCTGGAAAGAAAATGTGTTACTTGCATTATTATGTAGATCAGATCACCTCACATTATTGTTACACCGCCCCAATAATCATTCATCGGCATTGACATGTCATAGGTCGACCTGCCCTGAACGAATTATTATTTATCATCATCCTTATTCCATAACCCTCACCTCTCTTTTTCTCGCAGGGTTTGCAAATCCCATAAATTGCACTACCAACCTCGACGTCCCATAAGTAATTTCTGCTAGGTCGATGGAAACCCTGCCCCTTCCGTTTCCTAACACGGGAATATCATTTGTCCCAGGTTTTCACCCACCTGGCGGGGTGTCACTTCTTCCCTTCGCCGGAAATCATTCAACACCTCGGGTTCGTATTGGCTTTGGTATTTTCATCCTCCTTCTTGACGAGTAGGTGGCCACTTTCGCGAGGTGAAAGTGAAAATGATGAGGTTTTTTGTAGACATGCACAGAACACACACGACGCGGATGATACATTGCTGGCTGGCTGCACATATTTATAGGAGACTTTTGGTCACAATATACACTTAGGCAGCGTACATGGCGGTTTGATGATTGATGACTTGAGATGCACGCCATGAGAGAAAACCTATCACGAAGGGAGCAGAATCGTTTATTATTTATTTACTTTTTATCTTCGGTATGAAATATTTAATGCGGATGTTGTTCAAAAAGTGCTGGTTTGGTCAAATACATGAATACGCGAGGGTTGGGATAATATATGGGTCGGATGGATAAGGATGACAGCGGTCGTGTCAATCTTCATGCTTTTCGTTCGTACCATGCAGTGAGTGCTTTTCTTATATCGTTGCGTCACTTTTTAAGCCGTGTGACATTGTTGCATGTCCCAGTCGAGTAATAATAAGTACGTGTCCTTCCTCCTCCAACTAGTCCAACTCTTTTCAAGTTGGCAGCTCATAAAATCAAGGAGAAAGTAGTAGTGACCAGTAATGGAAATGGTGGAAATTCTATTGGCAAATAACACCCCCAATAAAATTATTGGGTGGATACTCAGCCACTTGCACTCAATATTGACCAAGGTCTCACACAATTCTTTGTTTATATAGCAGGTGACTGATTTATGATACTTTCTCCTTCGTTGGCGCCGTATGGATGGAGAAATTTTATTATTATTACCTGTTTCCGGATCAGATTGGATGATGATGGCGTTAGGTTCTGCGATTCTCCTATTTTCAATCCAAGGGTGGTAATTTCCTTGAATACAAAAATTCACTCAAGTTTCTCTCTCCCTCCTTTCACTCGTGCCCAGGTTGTAGGTCACTAATGGACGGATCCTGTAGTACGTAGTGGCTGTAGTGAAAGTAGTGTGAACGCGGAGTGAGTGAGGAGACCTAATTTTAGTTACTACATAATAATCAATACTTGTACGTGATTCTGGGGAAAATCTGGTGTGATTATTAGCTTGCCAGATTTTCCCTACGTACGAATAATAAACTTCTCCGTATCCAAATTGCAAAGTTTTTAAACTTTCATGATTTTCATCTCGCTGTTGGTTGGGCCGATTTGGAGAATGCCATTAATTGAAGAGGGAAAGGGGGAGAAAATCGGGATTCAAGGACCATAAATAAATCTGGGAACAATCCAGGATGACTTGACCCAATGAAATAAAATGGAGTGGGGTAGCAACCAGGGGCCTAAAAACTCTCTCTTTTTCCATCCTCTGCTTGATCCCACAGTGCAAAATACAAAGACAGACCAGACCACCACCAAACCAGGAGGGAGGATGAATGGGATGACCAAAACCATCTGACACTGACTTGACTGCGAGTACTGACCGGGCAGACCACACTGAGGAAAAAAAGTCTGGCTTAATAGTAAAGTTTGGTTTGGCTTTAGGTTTACTTTGTGAGATTTGTGATGTATTTTTATGGCGTTTGGTTTTGAGGCTTTGCTGCAAATCTTGCTCTTTCTCTCGGCAACTACTACTTTCCCTTGTTGTTTCTCCTGCACAACATTTATGGCTTTCTCCTCCTTTTCAGCAGGGGAGCAGGTAGCTAAAAGGTGGAGAACAAGGTACGCAAAATGGGTCATTCTTTCCAAGTCCGACACGGCAGCAGGAGCAAGAAGTGGTTCCTTTTTTACTGGGAAGGAGAAGAAGCACTTAGCACGAAGGGAAAGTGCGTGTCCCGCAATATTCCTGAAATTGATTTGCATTGCTTTTCTCAAAGTTTAAAGGAGGGAAATGTAGGGAAAACATTACGCAATCTGTCCCACCAACAACCATCATGCAGCACCATTACGTCAACATCAACAACTTGTTAAATACTCGGTTTTCTCTCCAGAGAACTTCATGATTTCATGCCAAGTTCATTTAAGTCTGGTTCATTTTCGTCCACTTTCGTCTCCTCCAAGACTTGGCTAATGGTTGTTGGTGACTCTGCTGCTTTGGTCCATTTTCCTAAATCCAATCCAATCCACTCTAATTTTGACTCGAACTATACATGGCAAACATTATGTGAATTTCTGTCCTCGTTTCGTCCTCGTACTTTGACTTTCTCTCTCCGTACTTACTTTAGCTTTCTCTCTCTCTCCCTTTCGTCCTAATGTAAAGTTAATGTTTTTGTAGTTTTTTTCTTACTCCTAGAAGAAAAAGGAAGACGGCCTGAAAACGTTTCCGGCTCGGAAAGCGGACGGACTTTGTAAAACAAAGTGGACGACGACAAAGTGACCATTTCGACCTATTCAACTGCCCACTATTTCGTAACAAACACGACTATATACACTACTAACCAAGTTCCACCAAGTTACCTAAGAATCAGGTAATTTCCTCCTGCCTGCATTTATTTCTGCATTGCTTTCTCTGATTGCAAATAAAGATAAAACTGTCGCAATTGTTTTTTAGTAATTAAATTTAAGGCTAAATTTATACCATGACTTTTAAGCGAAATATGTACATATACCTAATTTGTAAAACTATTTAGGAATACATTATTACGCCATAAAATTATTGGTGACATGCACACACATTCGGTGAAAGTACTTACTTCACTTACTTTTTTCAGGGGAGAGCTAGGCGAACCCGACTTCTCCTCCCAAACTTCGCTTACTTAATCTCCTTGTCCATCCAATTCATGAAGTTGGAGAGTTAACGGTAATTTTCAATTAGATTCCCATTTCCACCAGAGTAAAATCAGGAGAAAAGTCGTAACTTTTCCTCCCATGTATGTAACTACCATGCAGCTACATTTGTGTATGTGTATGCATTCTCTCTATTCCTCCGCCTCCATGGCCTTAAAGATTACAGGGATCAGACATGCAATCCTTCTCTTTAATCTCCATCCAACACTGTTACCGCACTTACGTCGAGAATAATAAAACCTTCGTCCTACTTTCTCCGCTAAGCAAAATATAATTTGGTCCAGGTCAGAAATCAAAATCATAAATTTTTCGAAATTTTTCATCCACATAATTTATTTATTTATTTGATCATTGAATTAAAAAATTACCCCACCCACCACACACAGTCACCAGAGCATATTATTATTTACATATATGTATTTACAAGATCATTTTTAACTTGGAAAGGATACATTAATATTTACATTTATGTGTTTATACGCATAATTCATCCGGCAATAAAGTTACAATATTTGATTAAACAGTCGAATCGTGCCAGTAATTATTATTGTTGAGAATTTCCTCCCTCTTACTTACATCCCGTAATAATTCTTGTATCGCGCGAGCAATTAAATATTTACAGAGTTAAAATCTTTATTATTCACGAAACAATGTGGTGGTCTGAATAAGAAATAAACCATGTTTCAAACCTCACAGGCAATCCTGAAACATTTTCATGGGCACACAAACACGCTCATAAATCTATTGGCATATGTATCCCTTTTAACCTATAATTATACTTATAATCCACACAGCGTACTGTAATTAACCTCCAATCCAACGTTAATAATGTCTCACTTGTAATTAAGATTGGTGCTTAGCTTAGCTCTACATATTTCAACATTCATCATCATCATCATCGTAGTAATCATCTCAACAGCCTAATTTTATTAGAGACCTAGCAGCAGCAGAAGAAGAGGAAGAATTATTATTTATTAATATTTATTATGTATACCAACTTGGTTCGCAAGATGATGATGACGATGTCATTTGACAATTTATTATTTCCACAAGCTATTATTCATCCCTAAAGATTACTTAACGTTTAACATGCAACTTGTGAACTAAATATTATTGAAAAGATTGTGATGGATGTGTACCATTTTATTATTATTATTTTACCCTCGATATAAATTCCTCGTGTTGCTTGAGTTATGTACAAATTTTAACTTTGCTAGTGACCGAGTTGAGAATTTCCTTATTGTTCCAACTTTCATAAAAGGATGGGATGGGAGGGTTGCCTCATTAAATATTGGCGACATGATCCAGTATCCTCCTCCCTGGAAATACGGACACGAAACAAATATGGCTTATTTATTATTATCCATCCAAAACAAATTCAAGCTCTGAATACTTGAAGAAATAAATATTGGATAGGAGAAAGTGAGTTAGGAAAGTTAAGTGAAAGTAAAATAGAGTGCAAACAAAGGGTTCTCCTCTTCCTGGAATGCATTACCTCGTACATACGAGGCAAACTATAATAATAAGCAAGTAGGGGGCACGAGAGAAATAATATTTCGTTCACATTCACGAACAGTTAATTACTTTTTAATTAGTAGGATTAAACGTCAAAGCAAAAGAGTTGAGCTTTAGCTTTGCACAGCGAAAGTAAGAGTGGTGGAAGTTGGCCGAATTTGCAAAAGTGTACCAAACACAGCACAACAACATCTGCACAGCAGTGAGAAAGGAGTGGGTGGGGTGCATGGGTGGGTATACACATGGCTTATTTATCCACCAACCCCACCTATATTTTATAAAGTCCTGTGTATGTATCTACATGCACGACAAGGTCTACGTCCGTACGTCCAGTGGTGAAAGTCAGCAGTGGGTAGTTGTTCACTCAAACAGCATAAAATAAAACACCACGTCCTCGCAAACAAGTTTAACAAATTTTGCACAATAGATTTGTTTCTGAATTTTGAATGCGTTCGTTCCTTCCCATCCACCACTCGTTCGTTGTTTGTGAGTCAAACGAGGACGCAACTGAATTTCATTGTCTCTCTCTCTCTCTCCCCGAGAAGTAGAATAGTTTCGAAATTTTGAGCGAATTCCATAAAGAAGTTTCTTCTCCTTGTTGTTGTGTTGTTATGATGTGGATACTTTCATAACTGAGGCGTAAACGTGCATAGGGATTAAGGGAGCAAAAGGAGGAGATTATGTGTATCTAGGCAGAGAATAAGAAGCTAATAAGTTATTTAGCGTTGCTTTCTATTCTTTGGATCGTCTCCAAAATAAAGAGCTTATTTTTTATATGCTCAAATTTTTACGGGCATATTTCCTACATACTTATTCTTAATCTTTTGTTTATTGTTTACTTTCACTTTTTTTCATGTCGTGACTGATTCCGCATTAAGAGTCGATAGACTTCTTTTTTTTCACACAATCCTTTAAAATTTGAAACCTTATTCCTTTTTTAATTTTAGGGTACGTTGTGAAGCGTAAATTCAATTTTTATGAAAAAAAGAAGAAGAAGAAGGATTCTATAGCCTTCGGTGTTGGAATTTCCTTTGGAGGAATAAAATGAGACAAGGGGAAAGTTGGGGGAAATGTGAAGCGTAGTTTTAAACTTTCTTTTTCCCATGTATTTGGTCACTCTGCTGGAAAGTTGGTTGGTTTGGTGGTGGTGGAAGGACGGGCGAAATACTTATGTACCCCTTCACATTTATTATTGGTTTCTCCACCCAAAACCACGACAGCAGCAGCGTTTGTTTGGAATGTGAAGTGATGCAGGAAGAGAGTACGCACTCGTAATGAAATAACGCATGAGCTGCTTTACAAGGGCACATCTTGACATTCTCCCTCATACCCTTTGAATCCACGAATTGCATGATTGTTTGCGTTGTGGGGAGAAACAAAGGGAAATCTGGGATTAAGCTGGATAAGAGGAGAGGAAAAGGGTAATATTGTTGTTTTTATTTTACTTGTCGTGGATCGAATATAACTTTCATACTAAAAATGTGAAAGACAAAGTGATCTAAATTTAACTTGGGTACAAAATTATATGAACACTTAACTCAGCGAACCTTGCACATATTTTACTTTTTCAGTAATTCACTTACATTTCAAATGTCGTAAAAATGCAACGGAATAAAAGTGCTAAAACTATTTTGGGACATTTGTTTAAACCCAAGATTTTGTACCCTGGTTTAAAAATAAATGACAAATTTACGTACACTTTTATTTTAAAGTATTTTTCTTTTAAGTTTCAGCACAAATTTATAAATTACTCGTGCATATAATTTGACAAATGTACCCATCCCTACTTTCCACACACTGTTTTGTTATTGTTTAAAATAGAGACACAAAAGATGAAAGCATTTCAAAGGCACACCTGGAAAATCTGTTTCTACTTTTTGCCCTTTAACCCCTTCGCCGTGAAAATAATTCAATGTGTCACCCACTTTATGCTACCCACCCACTCACCACTCAAACCCATCCCCTTTTCAAGAACTTGGTCTTCTTCTCCCCAAAACTTTCACTTTTATCCCCACCCACACAAAAAACTACGAGACGACCAAGTGTCCATCTTTATTTATGACACGAGTTCTGACTTGAAAACAGGACACCACACAAAACCAAGTTATGTAAGAAACAATTCAAGAATTGAGTGGGTGTTGCATCATCATCGTATTCTTGTCACTGAATAAAAAAAGCAAAATAGCGTAATTCTCTCCACATCAAAAGGAAACCGTAACTTATTTTATCCCAAATAATAATGGCGACTAATGGTGAGACGTGATATATAGAAAAATAAAAATCCTCAAACCATGCATTCTTCCCATTACCGTAGTCAATTCTAGTTTCCACTCGGTTCGAAACCCTCACCAGTAATGGTCGTAGTGTGTAACGTACGAGAATAAAAGTAGTGAAAGCGTACGTACACTGAATGAATTTTCCTTCTTTGGAGAAAGTTTCCTTAATTTATTAACCGGAACAAGCTTTCTCTGTCACAAAACCAAAACCAACCAGCTCGCCTCACAAAGCAAGTATCCAGACCAGACCAAATAGCACGATGTGAACTTAATATAGCGAAATTGGGTGGGCATAGATCAGTAAGTACAAGCAGGCAGACGACTACAGGGTTCCAAACCCAAGCTATGAAGGAGGCCACACGCGATGCAGTGCAATTCAGTGCAACAAAGGTAAGTGATTTTGAACCAATAAGTATCGAAAAGCAGTGAAATCTACACTTAGAATTGGGATTTAGCCTTCATTTGCAGCAGCACATTTCTTACACAATCTGGCTGAACTAATAATATTGATTAATTTATGCTTTAGCCTGAAATTAAGTCTGCACAAGTTTTTCTCTCAACCAATTAGTTGCACGTGCACCCTGCCACGTATTGCTTACCAGTTAGTGAAAGTTACTCTGTAGTTTAGTGCAATAATATGCAGTGGTGGTGCATGACTGAATTAGAGTATGGCCATCCAATCCAGTCCACTTTCCCGTCTTGAGTGGGTCGGTCGGTCGGTGGAGAAAGTGGATTTTTTTTATCTGGCTGGACCTGAAATAAAAAACACGAGAATAATAAAATTTATTTTATTCGCTGCCTCGTGGGCCCACTTGCACTCAAACTGGAACAATGTCTACTTTACGGTGTATTTATGTCCGTATGTATGTATCTGTTATTTGGTTATACACACTTTATTCCAGATTTGTGCGACAGTCATCCTCTTAAAGGAGTGCTTTACAATTTTCTGTTATAAATACTTTACTATGCGTACGAATTTTTTTAGTGAATCTTTAAAATGCACTCTATTTAGTCCTTAGCTGGAAAGGAAATGAGAATCTTGTTTAAAAGAATTGCCCGGTTTTTGTTAAAGCTGATGCAATTATGAAAATTTTGCTTTGCTGATTAGTTATTTAGGTAATGATTAATTAATTGTTTTTTTGTATCATTTATCAGTCACAATTATCTATCGATAACTAATATCTACATACTATTAACACTCTACGAAAGCATTATTAAGGACAGTTCGAGAAGTGTCTACACATTCCTACTTGTAATTACGCACTCTAGCGAAATATAAATATTGGCTTCAACCTTATCCAAAACAATTTACCAAATCTTCCTACGTATAAATAAACCTTGTCATTTGTGTATTTCGTATTTCATATTTCAACTATTTCAAAGTTTCGAAAGAATTTACAAATGACTTTTCCTACACAACATTTCTCGTCGGATGGACGGAAACCACACCAAGAAACAACCCACCCACACATTTACAATCGTATTAACTGGCCTTCTTATATAACCAACCGTCCTTAAATTCCTCCCCTCCAAACTTTTGCTACTTTTACGTAAAAAGAAGAAGTGAGAATTCCCAAATTTCTTGTCCACTTTTACTCCTTCTCACACAATGCACGAAATACTTTCTCCCCAATTCCACACATAACAAGAATATGAACTGCCTAACGTAACAACAAGCTCTTCTTCGCTACATAAATAGTTGTTGGTGACGGGACTTTTTCACTATTTGAAATCGTAGCAAAAGGTAATTTACCAGGAATGTGAAAAATTCTTCACTCTCGAACCCAAACAGAAACTTTTCCAGGGAATTTGGTACCCCCAACAAACAGTGGCCGAGGAACCCATGAGGACATTGTAGGATAGGGAAGGGATGGGTTTATATAAGATGGACAGATGATGGGGACATCGAATAATCGTAGAGACATTTTGTCCCTCTGTCCCCACGCTTCTGCGGTTACTGCATACCCCAAAAAAATACTCCTACTACTACACCAGTACATCCTACGCAACAAGAAGATGATGAATAGACGAAAGCTTACCTCAATTAGCGGAGTGGACGCTGAATGAATGAATTCAATTCATCACTTCTTTCCTGATAAGCCAATGATGACGACTTTCTCATTTTTTTCTCGTCTTATCCTTTCCCAGCCAGCCAGCCTTGATTTTATTTTAGGAGCAAAGCAACTTATTGGATCCACTTAGCTTTTTTTCCTACCCTCGTACAGCGGATAGATAATTGACATAATCGATTGACAGATTTCATCCAGACAGTCCACCGCTCCTGCTGTTGCTACTTTTTATTCAAGGTCTGATTGCACACGAGGAGATGAGAAAGCGATAGTGCACAACTTTCTTATATAAAATTTCGATGAATAATTACATCAGAGTCATTTGCATCCTTATAATCGGAAACCCTTGTAAAAACGCACGTAGACACGTCACTCACTCCAAAAATAAATTGGGAGAGAAAATTGATTAAGTTTTTACACAGGAAAAAAGTCTCGTATTCCACGTCACATGCAACTTTCTTCACTCTTTTTCGTAGGAAAGAAAAAAAAGTAATAGTGGGAGTAGACGGTTTGAGCCGATAGTTGGACACTAATAAGGTGTGAAATGGTCCGAAAAGTAGGAATTGTCAGTTCATCTCTTCATCCTTCCTTCAGTTTATCCAATCCAGTTGATTCCGCTCTCTTTGGAGGAACGGAAACAAATCTTTGGCTTCAATCCACCACACCACCGATTAGTTGGGAAGAGATTGTTGATTGCTGACTGTAGCTCGAGCTGCCTCCTTTTCTCGGATGGAAGGAAGGCAAGTTGATGAGGCGATGTAATAATGCAATAATAATCGGGTAATGGAATGGAGTGGAAATGGCGGAGAGAGAAAGTTGGTGGTCTCCTTCTGCTTCCTAGTTTCCCGTCACATTTGAGATTATGGAACCTTCACAGACTACTTTCTTATATCAAATTGTCCCTAAAAAAGTAAGCACGTTGCAACTCTAAGGAAACACGTGGGTGGAGGAGTGGATTTAGTTTTTAGAAAATAAAGTGACAGTTTTTTGCTTTCTTTGTGAAGTTGGTTTAAGCCTTCTCACGTATTTATTTGTCGTGATTTGACCATCACCACGTTCCCGATTATTACGACGTTGTACCATTTTGTAGCTAAATTGACATTAACGAATGTCAATTTATCCGAAAATTGTTGCTCTTCTTCTCCTCGTCTTGCATGAAAGATATACACAAAGTTTTCTCCCCGTCTGTTCTTCACTCACTTAGTTATTAGCACACACATTTACACTCGTCAAGTAGTGCCACATCATCATTCCAAATCCGGGTAGAGCAGGAGCGGAATTGTTATGATTATGGCGGAGATAGTTAACCGGCTGCAGAAGAAGCTCTTCCTCCTCTCCTCAAAAAGATGGACACGACGGAGCAGCGATGTTGATGACAATGTCGTCGGCCCAGAACTGCCCGATGATGTGGCCGACGACGGGGAATTGTTATTCGTCCTTCGCTGAATGGCTGCAATCTTGTCGCCAGAAAAGAGACCGGATGCTAAAGAGAAAAAAAAAATATTGTTTTGCCAAACAAATTTTCGATTTCGGGGAACAATACGGTCTGGAAATTTGAGATGGTTGATATGCAAAGATGAATAGATGAGGTCAAACTATCCGAGTATGTAGTTCCGATTGAAATCTTTCCACCCTATTTTCCACACAGATGGATTTAATAAAAGCGTGAAATCGATTTAGATAGAAATGAGAACCAGGAGGAGAAGCATAGCATCGACAGCGGCAAATCTCGACCCAAGTGGAGAGACTGGACCAGAACAAGTCCTTATTTTATGCAGACGAAGAAGATCACAAGACAAAAGACCAAACCAACCCGAGACTGCATCGAGTAGTAGACCAAGTGAAAGAAGATCAACATTCTATTTTCTCCAGAAAACGATATCCCTTCATTCTCATGAATTTCACACATAGCGACTTTCCAGCCTTGGAGGCATTCGTCTATCTGTTTCTGCTCTCTCTTTCTTTCTCTCTCTCTCTCACTTTCTCTCTCTTCTCGAGGAAATATAATAGTCATGTTTCCTCTGAAATAGTGAATTTCCTCGCTCCTCTGCCACTACCACCACTGATGCCTCTGCTGCCTCTGCTGCCTCTGCCTCTGCTGGTAGTGTGAGATTGACTTCTTATCTTGGATTGGATTGGAAAAACACTCGCTTTCACTTTGAGGCCGAGTTGCAGAAATGGAACGAAACGAAATACTTAATACAAGCCCAAAGGATACGTATGAAATGAAACAATGCAATGCGGGGGAAATAAGTGTGATCTGCATTCGAAATTAGTATCTTCCCCGTAATAAGGTAAATTTCCTACTCAAATATTTATACGTATTTGGAATGTTGCGCAAAGTCAAAGTGTAATGAACTCTAATTGCGTGCAAGTTTTGTAGTGGGTGAACAAAAGACAGGACACAAAAACAGGCCACGTTTCTTTGTCCTTTCGTGTATAAAAAAAATTGGGAAAAAAGGGACACGACGTCCAGTCCTGGAAAACAACACACGACACAAACACAATGGAGCAGTTAGTACACAACAAATGTACACTTTCTCTCGAATGGACCCTTTTTTTCTGCACATTCTCATTCAGCCATCCAACCAGATCCACATATGTCTCAAATCAATTCATGAAAGGAATACATAGATGTATGCGCTCCGGCTGGTGTTACGCTTTGCCCATTTATTTCGTCTGGTCAATTCATCCAATTCTGAGTCGGGGAACGTGTAGTGTAAAAACCGTGTGACTTTTCACTCCATATATTTCACCGGATAAAGAGAGGTCATCATTCTTGCATCGCATACATCCCATCTCATCTCACTCCTCCACTTTCTTCCAGGGAAAACTCATCTCACCCACTTTTTCAGAGTGACAGATGCCCGGCCGGATAACCGAGGCGGGCATTGCTACATACGTACATGCATAAGTGAACAAGTAGTATCTAGAAACGTTATTTGCCAACCTTGCGAGACGTAGACAAAGATGGATGCCGGCTCGGCGTGAGGAGTTTTACAAGAATAATTCCCCGAATCGGATATCCTAGCGTCACGTATCGTCAGCCTGGATTGCGTCCTTAAACCCGGCTCTGTTCGGACAGTCACTTCTCTCGAACTGCCATAGTTTATCATTAGCTCGTTGTGGTACCAGAAGATGAACTCGGGAACCTTTGGACTCTGCAAAGACAAAAGAAGAAGATGAACGAAATATAGATAAATCGAGTCTCACCCAGTAAAATAATGATATCACGTCACGACATCATTATGTAGTACGAGCATGCAAACATTTAGTGAGTCTACCAACCAGCCTTAAACTTTCTCTGGACAGGGGAGAAAGTTGGCCGCGTATTTCGTCGTATTATAAGCTGATTATTAAACCGAGAAGAAGCCTCTCTCCTCAACAAAGTCAAGTGTGTGTCTCTGGTTTTGGCAGAGAACGAAGTTAACTTAGCTTGGCACTGGACACGATTCATACATACATACATTTCATAACCATCTCTACGTATGTACTAATTGTCGTAAAGATATGCCACCAAGAGCCCGACTAAACCAACCAAAACCGAGTCCACTACTTAGCAAATCCAGAGGAGAGAGCACTTGAACTTTCTCCGCTCCTCTTTGTATGAGGATCATCTACAACTCTGTCCGTCTCTCTGCCACACATTTTCTCTCGCTTTCTCTGGTCAGGCCAAGTTTACGGGAATCGTGCCACGGAGTTAAGGAGGAAGGAAGGAATTTACGACAATTAGGTCCAACTTCCTGGACCCTTATAGTAGCTCACCAACCAACTCATTACAATGCGGCGTATAGCGTAATAATTGTTGAGATTTCACGAGTTGAATTGTGGCCAAAAACTGTAAGATTTTAAGTGGTTGGGGTCTCTCTCTCGGACTAATTTTAAAGAAAAACATGCCACAAACTTTGTCCCTGACAGTGAAGGATTTTTTCTTTTACTTTCATCAAGTTTTCTCTGCTTTCTTTTCCTTCCTAGTTTCCATTATACCTTTATTTACTGCTGCCCGTGAGTAGTCGGGGCTCGGTTTGGTTGGTGATTTTGATTCTTTCTCCTACAAACGCATCAGAACAAGAATGTCGCCTCGCTACTAGTGTGCGTACTCCTCTAATGGCTTTACTACTACTCGGAGGAGGAGAAAGTGAGTGAGATTGCTCTGCGGAAGAAGAAGGAAAACATTTCCTTCCACAACTTCCAATTTCAACTTGAACACCAGGAAGACGATGCAGTTAAAGAATTTAAAAGTACGGTTAGGGATCAAAATCTGCTGTGCGTATCAAATCCTGGGAAAATCCAGGTCGTAATGTAAACTTAAGCATCTTGACTGGACCGCAAAGCCTAATTCCGCAAGGGGGAATAACTCCAGTTAAATAAATCTTTTGCCGAGAAAAACCAAGAGAACATTTTTCTCCAAATTCGAATTTTTCGAATTTGTGACAATTTTTAAAGTGTATAAAATTTCACTTTCTTCAACAAAATTCTGTTAAAGTATATACGTAATAGTGAAAAATAGGCTGCCGAATTTCAAGTAACTTTCCATGTAAGATTTGTTCCTTTACAAAAAAGAGAAAAAAACGGAAATGGAAACAAACAAGAAAATAATGTGATAGCAATCAATCCAATTTCTTGCCATGGTAGAGAATACAGGGGGAGAAATGCGGTTTCAGTGTAAAGAGCTTACATACTTTGGCCATCACCACCACGGAACAACATTTCTTGTCCTCTTGTTTCAATATAGGTTTAGGAATTTGGGGCATTTAGGCTTAATTTTGAATCCAGGCTGAGAGAGAATATAAATCCCAAAGAGGCAATCCAATCCAATATCAGATTTGGGTGGTGGTGGTGGAGAAAGCACCGAAATAAATGAAAATGCCTCCTTCTCACGGTACACGTGCTATGCCAGACTTAAATTCTTGTACAGATGTAATCTGTCGTAATTTGTGTTTTGCTTTCTTTCTTTCAGAGAGAAAATTGCTTGCTCCTTGTTTCGTTACAAGGCAATAAAATTAAGGAGAGCGCAATCGAAATCTAGCAAAACCCACCCACCCACCTTCTCAATTGATGTTTTTGTTTAAGTACATTATACAGTTTAATAATAATTTTTACGCACCAATAAAATCAACTTATATGTAAATATATATAAAATATTTTTAAATTTATTCATTAAAATTTTAAATTGAGAGTACACTTTGTTCTCCCAAAGTCGGAGATAAGTGTAGCTGGCTGCGTAAAACTTGTTCGCTTGCTTGCTTGTTATTTTCCCATCTTACTCACATGATCGTGCATACTGACTTCCCGACATTCTTAACTTACTCGTGTGTGTTGATTTTTTGTCAACACTAACTTAGCCGTGTACACTGATTTGCCTACATTTCTAACTCGCTCGTCTTTATTTATCACCTGCTATTTAAATATTACTTTTTTTGAGGGACAAGTTCAACAATGGTAAGTATTATATTAAAAATAATAATTTTAGGTAAACCGTCATATTTGTATAATTTTAATCTAGGACAATTTTTTAACCATTGATGATGTACCGGCTGGGCAACCAATTTTTTGGTTTGAGGGCACCGGACTCATTGGTTTTAGGACGAAAGAGCAAGTGATGAAAATGAAAAGTGAGTCAAATGTAGTCAATTTTTGTACAATTATTTATATCTATTACTTATAATTTTACAGCGGATGAGTATCAAATTCACACTCTAATTGGATTAAAGTGGAAGGATTCAATGATGAGAACAAGAGAAATAACATATGGCTTAACTTGGTTAAAAAATAAGGCAGAAGCAGTAAAGACTGCCATAAGGCACGCAAAATTAAGAACAGATTTCGATCCTCTGAAGCCAGGAAAAGGATGCTCATTGGCGTAATAATAATAAATAATGATAAGTGCATCAACATAATTATTAAGTTTACAACATTTGTAATTATTTGCAGAGACACGATCAACCCAGAATACGAACCCGATGAAAACGATTTTATCGACATAGCGGTTTTTGGTGATTGTGACAAAACAATTATGCAGATTAAAGAATATTTACGAGAACGTTTCGATGCTCCCGGATCGTTTAAGGGGACACCTGCTGCCATTTGTCTACAAAACGTTTGGGGTGTACTAGATCCTTTAATCAAGTAAGATATACAAAATAAAATAATACATGCATGTTCTGTATTTAATTTTGGTTGATTAAATGCTTTAGGAAATATAATCTGGAGGTTGATCTACCACCGATTCGTGTCAAAAGGTCTGAGAAACCAAGGATCAAGAAGAAAGTAAAAGTTAATAAACCATCACATGATAAGCACGGGCAACGTTTAAAGTTCTGTCCCCACTGTCCTTACTCGTCATATAATAACCTAAACAGGTGGGTTTCCAGAAATCATGCTACTGTTTTCTTTTAAATATATGACTATTTTATTAAATTGTAGACATTTGTCTACTCATTCTGGAATTAAACCATTCCAATGTTCCAAGTGCCCCAAAGCATTCTTCGGCAGCCATGAGTTACAACGGCATGCAAAATCATGTGGCAAAGTAACACGTCGTAAAATTGGATTTCGGAAATTGTTGGACAAAAGGTTACAATTACAAATAATCAACCTTTTAAAATATGTAAATAAATGCGTTAATGTTTGCATTTGCAGGCAGAATATACGCTCTACAGAGATTGTACCCCCAAAACCTGCAGAGATAATATGCAATTTCAACATTTCTTTGCCAGACTCAAGTGACGATTCTGAAGAGGAAGAACTGACTGATGTAAGGAACCTCCAACAAAAAGTTCGTGAGCAGAAGGAGATAATCAAGGATCTTCGCGCAGAGATTAATAATCTTAAAAGTAGTCGCCCATAGGCTCGAAAGTGGATAAAATGCTTTCCACAATCTCAAATTTATGATTTTGTCGTTTTTTTTGCTAGTTATATGTGATATGCTACTTAGTTTCAATTTGTCTGGTGAGTTAGTGAGATGTTGATAATAAATTATTGTGTGTAATTGATACATACCTTTTCAATTACGCAAACGAGATTGATCGTACTCCCTTGCTCGACATGATATTCGTCCCCATTCCCCAGAATGAAGGCCTCTGGCACCGCAATCATCACATTGACCAGGAAGGAGATTATCCCAGTGCCTGTTGATATCTAAAACAAAGTAGAATGGTTTTTTCTCTCCTTGGTCAAAAAAATCTATAGATTTTCAGAGAATCCAATAAAAATTCCAAGACTTACCTGACACTCGTACGTCCTGTTTTTTTCATAAAAAACGACACTGTTTACTGAGATTTTCAAAATTTTATGAAAATGCATAAATTTTATTTTTAAAACCCTCACCCGTTATCTCGACTCTGTATAAACTTTATTTGTAACGTCCAGTCATCCGTGCCCTCCGTGTGGAGGATGTGAAACCTCTCGTCATTCGTGTACGTCACTTTTCCAGTCGTCAGAATATGCCAGTCTCTTCTTCGAACCCAAGAAATCTAAGAAATTGGAAGAAAAATAGCGACATAAAATTTAATCCGGGTAAAAAATCTATTCCAAATTTTTATAAGAGCCAATTTAAAAAGATCGCATGTATGCACGAAGAAGAAGAATAGGAGGACGCGCAATTTGGGCTCATCAAGCCCAACCATCTCGAGCTCTTTAGCCCGACACATTTTTATTATTCTGAATGTGTGATCTCTTCTCAAATACCAATGTCGTCGATTGAGCCGACAATTGAGACACAGTCGGCTGCATCATTCCCAAAAGGAATTTGAGCCAGGCCAGGAGCAGCAATTCCAAATTCCTGCCAGACTGAAATCCTATCCGATCATGATCCTCTCCTCCTCCTGGTGCGAATATCGGTCTCAATTGTCATCCCAAATGTCTCCAACTTGGTCGAGTAGGGATTGTAGGAAAAAGAGACGATGTGAAAGTATGAGCTGTCACGTCAAGTCTCTTCACCTCTAACTGAACCCAATGAGAATGACACTTATAAAAAAATCTGAAGAAAAACACATCATGATTTTTGAAATATCAGGAAAAAAAAACAAAATTCCATATTTATTTCAGAGACTGAGATTTGTCTCCATAAAATTGACCATAACGTTTCCATTTCCATAATCCCGGTAGGATTTTCAGATCTAAAATCGAACCCCTTGATCGCCTCAATATTCTCAATGTCGTAGAAAACAAGGGGGAAAAACAGGCAGGTCAATATCTAATAGTGATCCTGTGGAGTTGTAGAATTACAGATTTTCCTTGCTTTCTCTTGACATTGAACATTCGACGACGACTCTCACAGTCACTGAACTCCCAACCTCCCTCGATGCGTTAGTGAGTAAAAAAAGTTCCTCATTTTATGTCACTTTCCTTCCTTCGATGCAGTGAAAGAAAAGAATTTCAAGTCGCATGTCAAAACTAAAAGTGAAAGTGTTGAATCACAAAATCACGAAAAAAACTTGCCCTCTAATCGTCTCTCCCCCATTTTCTTTCTCTTTTTCTCTCTTAACGACACCCTCACCTTACGTAATTGCAATTACATTCCTTCTATCTAACAATCTATCCATCAAGAAAAGAAAATCCTTACCGATCGTTCCCCCAGGTTTTTAACGCGGCATCGCAGAAACGCAGTGTCACCTGATAATTAATTATTTGCACTATTAAATGCTTATTCATATAATTTCTACGTGATTTTTTTTATTCACCCAGAGGAACAGTGATATTGACGCTGGTATTGTTCTCGAAAAGCGCCCCGTCCGGAAATCCGTCCACGTAAGTCGGGTTCGGCATCCTTCTGCGACCCGCCGCGCCGAAATAATTGTTTCTGAGGGGAACAAAGGATGAACAATGGATTAACCCAGATTCATAAAAAATAGGGTATCATATCGTTTTTTACCTATTGCTGTTGTACGAGTTAATGTTGCTACTGCTGCTCCTCGAGGAGAAGCTTTTCGTCGTGGTGAGGGGCTTTGTTGTGGGTGCAGAAGTGCTGCCGCTGGGTGGGGAGGATGTCATGCTAATATTTTCATTATTCGGGTTAAGGATGGGATGAGATGTGGTGGTGGTGGACGACGTGGTGGCTGTGGGTGGGGCTGACGATGATGAGCTGGAGCTCCCCAAGGGTCCCGTGTTACTTAGGGCGGTCTGGTACTGCAACCATCTCTGCCGCGTGGTCGTTCCCCCCGACGAAACACTCGACGAGGCAGCCACGGCGGCTGTGGCCAACGCTGACGAAGTCTTTTGATGCGACACCCCTACGGAGATACAAATTATGAATTCATACATTAGTTACGCTATACTCACGAGTTAGTTATCGTCCTCGTTGCCGTAATAATAATGGATGTGAGAAGAATGCCTAATTTATTTTTTGCTTGGGTGCTTTGCTTGGCCATTTACATTTACATCGTGGGAAAAGTTGGCCCACATAATAAAATTATTCTCTTTGTGTGGCACAGTAGTTTCATTAATTTTATGAAAATTTGGATACATAATAATTTTCACACATTACAGAAAATTTTTGGGAAGAGGGGTGCAAAATTATCTAGAGAATTGCAAAAACTCAAACATGCAGAAATCTGTGTATGCAGTCCACTACTTGGCTGGAATTTTGCACATAAACAAACTTAACATGTATGTATGCATCCTCTTCTTCTCTCTCGGTCGGCATTGTCTATACACAACTTTAATTAATCGGATTTCCAAACCCATGTCACGTATTCATGTCAACACATCACCACCCACCGACTCACCCATCCAGCTACCTACCACCTTCCCCCAGTAAATACATGCCCATGAGTGGTAATGAGAAGCCGAAAGTGAAACTTGAAATGGAATAAATCAAATAGCGAGAGAGAGAGAAAAGGTTCAAATTTGGCTTAGCTGAGCCATTAAATTTTCCTATGAGGACACACGTGCAAACAACAGTTAGTCGCTAGTTGGCATGTACATACACAGTCAATTGCGATACCTTCACATGTCATCTGCGAGAGGGTCCAATTAGGAAGGAATCTCTCCCCTTTGGTGACTTGCTTTCACCACTTCATTATTCTAAAGGGCTCCTTCATGCATGTGTGGATGGATACATACACGAGGCAAGTAGGCATTGGTACACACGCCGTTATGCAGAGTTTACCTTCCATGTGTACCGTTTGTACGTAGAGTTGACTTTACTTATCAGATTTCAGCGAGACCTTTGTGCTCCTTGCATTGTGTCCTATTTTCTATGAATCCCGCCGCTTGGGAAACTTTCACTGCGGAGAATGAATAGGACAAAGGAGAGAGAAATCACCTCTGGGAGTCGGTGGAGTTAACGAGATCTATCTACAAACACACGCGCTCATCCCGCTCATAAAGTGGAGAGGAGAAAAAATGGTCTAAACGGAGAAAGTTAGTTAAATAACGGTAAAATCATCCTCACATTGTCAGTCACAAACACATCAACTAGTTGCAAAAAGGGACGATTAGATAACAATCTAGGACTTAACATGGGACGAAAAAAAAGCACCTCAAATTTTGCACGACGTCAAAGAGCGAGCAAAAAAAAGAGGACGATACTCACAAAAAATTGTCACCTTTCTTTGTTCTTGAGTAAGACAAAGTTTTGCTGTCTGTATAAAAATGAGAAATCACTTTGTGATGTCATGCACGCAATAATAATTGTTTCCTTTGAAGGAATGCTACTTCATGGCGGAACAATAATCAAAAAACCTGTGATACATTCATCACGATAAAACTGCCTGCTGCTCGACTCATCCATTTTTAATTAGGTAGCAGTCCGTCACCTACTTTCACCACCTTGACTACTGCGTATTTACATGTGTACATATCTGCATATTCTGTCCAAGTGAGTGTGACAATCACGGGAGTGCATGTGTCGTTGGGAATCTGGCGTTATAATTAAGTGTGCAAAGTGAAAGGTCCCTGATGCCGGTTGAATGGAATGTGAACCATGGAATCATAGCGTTATTACCTCCTCGGGGAGGGGATTATGTTTTACGTGGTATTCTGTATTCCGTTATGTTTTACTCGACCACGACAGACACGTAACAACAACTTGCCACATTTTCCAGGCACATGACGATCTAATAATATTTCGTAAAGTCGTAAAGTGAGAAGGATGGTTGGACTAGGTTGAAAATGTCATCATAGGAATTAAGTAAACTATGTATGTTTAAGAGTTAACATTGTGGCGTGCTTGCTATTTATTTTCATGGCGAAATTTGCATACATAATTTCGGAAGGTTCCTTGAAATTCTGAAATAATTTTTTTGAACAAATTATCTTGATTTTGGTACAAATAATTTTTAAAACTTGTCATTTGTTGTGTTTGATATGTACTGAGATTGGCATGCATATCTTCCATACTCTGGAATTCAACTGTCAAAATGTCCCAAAGTACAATCCTCCTGTTTTCCACAATAAGAAGAATAGTCGCCCACACGACTTTTCCTGTCGTCTTATTCCTTTCTCTACATCGTCTCGGACGGATAGATTTTAATTTATTTTTGCCATCCTCCCACAACCATTTTCCGAATTTCTGTTTAAAAACCAGGACAAATAACCACTTCTTTATTTCATACATCCATCCACCCACAGAAGAAATGGAATGATGGTCACAACACAACACAAAACCGACCAAAGAATACGAAAACAAGACAACAACGCAAACAGCAACTGGGCCGAGAAGGAGGAGAAGGGTTAAGAACAAACATGTCCAATCTGTCCGAAACAGACGGAAAAACTTAATAAGAAAGACATGTCAACATTCAAATTCAAGAGGAGAGATCATTACGTCCTTCCTCCATAGATACATGGGCAAGATAACACGGAAATACAAATTCCTCCACGTGAACACGTGTGCATCAAATGGAGAAGGACGTCGTCACCACAAAGTAATTCCAAAGTGGTCAAACAATTATTTTCGTCACGTCTATTTTTGCAAAATTTATTCAGCTCTGATGTCGAAAATTATTCATATTGACGTTTTTGCATGTAATATTGGATGTATTTTATTTTCGGGTAAATAATTGCACCGAATACACATATTTAAGTAGCACAAAAATATTTTACGATCCATTTTTCCATTTGTCTGCCCAAAATAAGAAGATTATGTCAAGCAAGATGATACACAATTTAGTATGCCGGGGACGAAAAGGTCCCTGTGTAATGGTCCATTTTGAATTTTGAAATGTCAATTTCAAGCCTGACATACTTCACTCGTCTCACCGACTTGCTTTTTTTTACGTTTTTACATATGCACAATTGCTATTCTGCTCACTCAAAACATTGGCGAAATAAATATTCCAAAAGTACCAAAGGTAATGAAACAACATACCAAATTTTTAAATAGTCATCTCCATAAAATTGCATTCAATCCCCATTTTTTAATCCAAATGAATTAAACCAATCCTCACTGCGAAGGCTTCTGATTCCAAGGCTCCTTCAAAAGTTGAGAAAACAATCACATAAAAAATTCAGCCCTTTCCTTCTCATGTTTCACAACATTTCCAAGTATTTGTTCTCGTCCCTGTATAATGCTGCAGTTTGGGGGAGCCCGTTAAAATGCAAAAATGTGGGCCACTTATGTTCATCTTTTCCCTTCACCGGCAAACTCCAGACTACACACGCAGAGGGAAAAAGTGTAGACTTTCTCCTCACCCAGAATACGAGAGACTACAGAACAACACTACTCCACAATTTATACCGTCACACAAAACGTACTCGCATTACTGCGAAAAAAGTTATGTAAGGAACACACTTTGGCATAGCTGATGCCCTCCTACGCCGCAGTAATAGGTGTTCCTCCACCTCCTCCTTTTTCGATATTCAAATAAGACCAACAACATCAAAACGTGGCACCTGATCTCATTTCATGATTCCTATTTAATTTGCATTTAGTTGTATGCCGATTTTCGACATTTGCACTCCCAGAAATGTACGAATATCCAACTTATTTACTGTTATGATTGCGCTTTTTTATTAGAAAAATATTAACAAGCACGCACTCGAATGAGCGTATATTTCCTATTTCTTTAATGCAACTGATCTCGACGCATAACAAGATTTCCTTGTTTCCTCCATAATGCCGATGTCACATCCTGAACACAATACATATGCAAATTTTACGCATCACCACAACGTCAAAGACAAAATCTGCAACAGACTCGTACACTCATGATTTTAGACAAGAAGCTGGCTTCCCGTTGTTATTGGCACTGTGTATTACATTACATTCTCGTAAAAGTTAAGAAAAAATCTTGTCGAATGGAATACAAAATTTCGCTCTTTAAGGACCCCACACGAAGAGCAGCAACTTTATGTATGTACAACAAGGACCCGATTACAACGTCCAAACCTCTTCCCTTTTCGACTACTAATGTTGTACGGACAAGATTTCATGAAAATTTTCATAATCGAGTGTAACATTTCCGGTGAACGTACATATATAAAGTAGAACGACGACTTTACGTTCGGCTTTATGCATACGTATGAAGTCATAAGTTGACTGTGCATACACACATCCACGGCCGCTGTCAGCACTTTACTTAAGTCCACTTAACATTTTATGCCGTGCGTGCTTGCTTTCTCTCCAGAATTTCTCATTTATGCAGATGAATCCCAAAAGCAGGCTCAGGACACAACACATCACAACACAAACTGCTCCCCTCTCTCTCTCTCAAAGGATTAGGATTTGTTTTGTTGAGAGAAAGAGAGAAAGTCTGATGCTCTTTCTTTTTAGTGCCACATGAGATTGGGATCATCTCCCTAATTCGGGTCCCATCAACGAGAAATTTTTCACTGAAATAAAAAAAAGAACAAGCAAGAAGAAGAGTAAAGTGAGCAGATTCTTGGTCCCTTTTTATTTACATACAGAGTTTCGCCATGTCGGCTTCTAAGCTGGGATGGAATGGACGCGAGTAAAGTGAGTGGAGTGTATTATTTATTAATACAAAGAGAAAGTATGGATGGACAATGAAAATGGGTGTTTTTATGTCAATATACAAGTTTTAAGTCTTACTCACCACTGTACGGTGCCATACATGCCAAAAACGTAATTGTGCTAAAATTGCAAATTTTATTTTCCAACATATTATTCTCCAAGACATGTTTTAAACGGGAAACTGTTTTATTCGCATAAAACGAAATGGCATAATAAGCAGACGACGGGGACGACGAGGGGAGAAAGTCGATGACATTTTTCTTCTCAGCCTCATCCCCGCCACATAAATATATTAGACTTGCAAATTGTATATGCTCAGTTTTATCAGCTTAATGGAATTTCATGTTTCATCATTTTTTCCCTTGTTTCTCCTCCCCCGAAGTCAGTGAGCCACGTAATGAGACAAAATTGGAGGGGCAGACATGTAGTCAAATTTATGCACATCAAACAAAAGTAGGGCAGAAAAGGGAAACGTGATAATAAGCAAGTAGGTTCTTCCGGTTACGTCAAGTTGACACAATTTGTGTCTGGAGAGAAATTCGATAAAATTTTGTTGTATCGTCGCAAAATACTCACCTTGATCCGAGATGATGACGAGGATGAGGACGAGCAAAAGGGAGAAATAAGAGATTGATGATGAGTCAAGCAGGATACGAGTCACGCACTTTCTTCCCTTATTCCCATTAATTAAACACCCTCCGCCTCCACCTCCGGCCACGAATCGTCGTCCCTTATTGACACCCATGTTGATAATTGTTCGTTACGTAAGGGAGAAATTAAAAGTTTTACACTACACTCATTTTCTGGAGCGTGTCATTCATTGAAAAGTTTTTGAATTTAGAGTGTTCATTTCACTTCATTCAAAACGATTTTGATTGGTTCGACTATTTTTTTCTCGTGAGAATTACATCATCTTCTGAGTTCTTTGTCCATCACGCGAATCTGTAACACAAGAATATAAAAAGATTCATTAAAACCCATTACACATTTTCCTTTGTAGATAGTTTGTCAAAAAAGTTAGAACTGAATCAAATTTATTTTATTGCCAAAAAATAATGTGAAGAAATATCCAAACTTGTTTGTACACATATTCTTTACAATACAACATTTCATTCATTCTTTCCACTCCACTTGACCGACTTGTATTTATATATTTACTTATTTACTATCTACATATATTCGCATTTTGATATGAAATATTATGACAATGTGAAGAAGAGAAGCTCTCAAACTGTAAAATATGCGCTATATAATTTTTTACTATTCCTTTCTCCGAGACAGAAGCAAATAATCATGGCAAAGATAAAATAATGCGCTGGAAGCTGTTTCTCTCTCTGCTTTCTCTTCTTATTTTTTCGCAATTTTTGAACGAGCAGGACTTACATTCATGTCGTCTTCTCATCGCATGCATTATTATCTTTCCTGTTCATATTAAGAGGACAGACAGGCTGCAGAGAAGAGGAGAAGGCATGAAAGAGTGCTGCTGGTGAATCCTCGAAACAACAAACAATAGAAAAAAGAGGCTGATTTACAACAGTTTGCTATTCGGTTGGACGCGGATGTATTAAAAGGTTGGTGGCCTGGTAAGTAATAAGTATGATACAGTATAAGCAATAACATGTAAGTGAATCATTTCCCAAGATGCAGTATAATATAATTCTTATCAAAAAATTCTATCGTCCAGCCCCAGCAAAAAAAGATCATAGCCAAATCCGAGTCCCAGGAATATTTATATTTTATACATACGCAAAATAAATATTGGGACAAAATATCAATAAAATCCTGCGTGCCGTTATCTATCTATCATCCCAGCTCGACTATTTGCCTAGGTCTCTCTCCGGCCCAGCTTAAATATGTAGCTTTCTCCTCTCCTCTCGATTTATTATAGGCCCCGGAAAAAAGTGGTGCTTGGGGATAAATCTTCCAAAAATAATAAACGTGTAGTAGCAAACCCTACCGAATAAACATATCCAGCAATCTTCGCGCAGATAGGAGAAATGCATCCCTCCTCTAAAACCATTTTCTCAAGAGACACAGATTTGTGAAAAACTATCTGACTTTCTCCACAACAAACAATACCAAACTTTCACTAGGTAAGTACATACGTACAATCTGAATCTATGCATATGTACCCTCCTCGATCCTCTCTTGTATACACCACTTGGGGAGAGATAAACAAAGTGTGCTGAATATTTCTGAATAAAAATGAGGACCTGTGTGTATACTACGTATAATATTATATTTCGTGAGCACATACGTAGGAGTCACGTCGCAGTCAATAAATACTTAGACTTGGAGGAAAAGGAAGTGAAAGTAGTGCATTGCAGCAGAAGGAAACGCACAGCAGAGTAAAAGAGTAAAGAGAAAGAGAGAGAAAATTCTTCCGATTGTATATGTAACATCATGTCACCCTAAATTCGGAGCAAATTTCTAGAATTGCGAGCAAACATTCTACGGTGAAAAATCACTTCCCCTACATTTCCACTCAGGAAAGGCTCACAGAGAGAAATTGCTGGAGTAGTGAAAGCGACTACTTTTAGGAGCATGGCACGCTCGTTGGGTCATTACTTTTAAACAGAAAAAGAAACTAAAAAACCATCTTCTCGAAAATTTATCCAATTTTTCCAAAATTTCGAAACGAACTTTTACAACTATGTGTAACACTGAATTGTATCCTACACACGTACCTATATTCGGTCCCGTACACACACAAAAATACATAAAAAAGGGACACGTTGAATACCATTCGAACTAACACACGGCCGCTTTCACTTCACTTTTCACCCTTGGTCCCACTTAACAATTCACCATTCACGGCGTTGATATGAAAGAGAAGAGAACCAAACATTTTCTCACCAGAGATAAATAAAGTGTGGAAAGAATGAAAATCCTTTTTATGAAAAATCTAGAATATTTACTACTCACTCGCTGAATGAACAAGCGTTGACTTGGGTGGTGTAACACTTTTCATACATTTGTGACCTTTCTTTATCCTTTGTTGTCTGAACAGGGGAGCAAAAAAAACACTAACAATAACTTTCTCCTTTACCCACCTAGTAAATTCTACAGGGGAACAATGCATACGTACATATCTGCATATGAAAATCCATTGCACGTACTTATCTTATCGGGTGGTGATTATTATTAAAAAAAAATAATGAATAAACTGTTATATTTACGACTGTCGTCTCTCCTTAATTAATTTCTTCCTCACAAAAGAGAAACTCATTTCGTTTAAAATTTCGAATTCAGCCCACACCACATCACATTTAAGACTTAAATATACAAACCCCTTCCTTTCTTTTTCCGTCTTCTTCAAGTATACAGAATTCTTAAGGGAATATTCATCAAGGCAAAGAAGACATCAAACAGGAGCACACTTCTCGCAAAATAAGTAAGAGAAGAGGTGGTGCCAGCCATAAAATTCGGAGCCGTTATACGAACCACCACCAAACCAAGTTACGTTACGTTATACTCATGTACGTATCTACTATCTGGAAATAATAAATAAAGTAAATAAATACCCACGCCAAGCCATGCCACGTGTCCCGCTATGGCAAAATACCAACGCTGTGCACCACTGTGAATGGTGGTGTATCTGGTAGGCAACCAATAAATAAGTAAACAGTCATAACTCTCCAGTGCCAAAAAGAAGAAGAAGATATGTAAAGAAAGGGCAGGATGTTACACAACAACAATTTGTTATTAGGAATAAGAGAAAGTATATCAGCACAAGTGGCGGTGGTGGTGGTGGTGATGATGGCAGTGCTGGCCTGGCGTGGGTGCAATCATTCGAGAAAGAATTCAATATTTTAGGAAGAAGAAAACTTTGAGAGAAAATCTCTGCTATCTATCGCTTTCTTTGGGCTCGTTATTATTTCACTTTTCCCTTATTCAACACCTCTTTCCATTAAAATCACTAAAAATTTACACTTTATTTACTCCTGCACGGACAGAATGAGGAGGAGAAGAAGAATTTCGCTCGGATAACAATGGAATTGTAGTGGAGGCGAAAATCTGGGTTTTGTTACGAATTTGCTCGGCAAGAAAACTTTGTTTGTGATGGAGCGTACTTTTGCTTGGTGATATTTTAGACGCGACTGAATTAAAAATGCAGAAATGTCTGAATGAATAATGATGGAGAAATCCACCTCGAAATTGCACAAATCAAATTGTTCAAATTTTATGAGTGGAAGGAAGAAATTGTGTGATCAATAGAAACATAATTTAGTATGCATGTCTGGTTTTCTATTTTTGAAAGTTTCTAATTTTAACTATGTATGTCATCATTTCATAGAAATATGAAATTATTTATTATTCATATGTATTTTTTATCCTCTAAATTTTAATGATTTCTTAAACACTCGTAATGATTATATAAGAAATCGCACAAAAAACCAGAATCTCTAAAAAATTCCACCCATTTATTTTCCAAGCCATCTAATGAAACGGATACTGATTAGAATTCAGGGAGGGCGAAAATAGTCTGGAAATTTGCAAATCTTCTCCTCCCCGACGACGACCCTGATTCGGACTCAATGGGAGGAAGGACGAGTCCCGCGTCGTGTAGGAAACATTACGCGACGATGGATGAGTTCCTGCTCTCTCGTATTTTATTTTATTTGGATTTTATTCCTTCATTGCATAGAATTAATTTCATTAACTTTACATCCTCGCCTCTCTCTCTCTCTTTTACAAAGAGCTGGCTGACATCGTCACGCGTAAAAGTTTCAGAAAAGTTAGCTCTCATGCACTTTTTACGAGCCTCCTTTTTCAAAACGTATTTAAATTTTGGACATTTTAAGTTCAAAACTTTTTAACAAATTGTCAAATTATTGGGGCAGAAGAAATTTACGTGGAGTGGAGGAGACAAAAGTAAAGCTTAATGATGCGTTGTTTTGTAAATATTTATCTTCCAAAGTTCATGATTTCCATGCATAAGTAAAACAACGCACTTCATTATTCGGCTTTGTTTTCCCCTTTTTTTAAAAAAATGATACAAAACTTTCTTCTGAGCGGAAAATAATGCAAACAACTTATCAATCATCAGCTTATCAAATCCTATCCGATCTTATCACGCACGTATGAAATGAAGTAAAATCATAAACTCAGCCAGCAGCAGCAAGTACCTAATCAATCCACGTCCATTTACAAGTGCCTGCTCTGCTTCATGCTTGATTAATGTCGTGGGGAGAATGAGCCTCTTTATTCCTTCATAATCTTGGAAAAGGAGTCTAATTGCTTTTTATTGTTTTAAATCATGCTCCAAGTATGTACTCGTCAAACAGAGATATGCATCCCCTTTTTCCAACGTGTAAAGAAAAGATTTGGGTTTATTTACTTATCAAAATGTGCAGCTGTTGCTTTCTCTCTCTACTTTTTTGCCGGAAAAGAGTTGTCAGAGCCATTAGAAAATAATCTCTCCCGCAGAACGAGTGATATGCAGCCCTTGACCCTCCCTAGGACAGAAAAGTGCAATAAATATACAAACATGTACAAATTCTCGGCCTGAATGAAGGGAGAAGTGAAATGAGTCATCAGCAGTATCGTCACGATTGGAGGAAACCACTCCCCCGTATTTGTCGATAGTATTAACGAACAGTCTGAATTTCAGTTGTTTTCCTTAATTAGTCTACGTTGTAATTAACAGGGCTTAATTGATTGCAATCACCATACGAGTTTCACTTTCATTCAAGCAATTATATTCGTTCATTCAGTGTAAATCTGCTTAAAAAATCGTCTCAAAATTTTATCCTAAATTGAATCAGAGCAGAAAAAATTTTATCCCAACCCATCTGAAATTTACCCCAGAATCATACACCAAAATCTGACTATATCCATACATAAATAAGTATATATATGCATATTAATGACCAATATCGATGGAACGGAATCCCATTCAATATTTATATTTATATGCTGATCCTATTCTGTCAAACTTT